GCACCCAGTGGATACAACTCTAGTTTGCTCTTCACCGAGTCTCTCATATCATTCCCACCCCGTGAGTTTCACCCTAAACCACTACAAGCATACCCCAGCACTTGAAGCATCGAAAAACTAAGAACGAACATATACTCAGTACCTATAAACTCAGAGAACAGGAGCTAAGCAAGAACAAGGCTGTAGGGTTACCCTCCCATAGTCACTGTCCAATCACACTGTGAAGAGCCTTTGTTGCCTAGACGGGTTTCCCACCACGCACTCAATGGATACAACTCTAGTTTGCTCTTCACCGGGTCTCTCATTTCGTCCAACCATTGGTGTTCCCACTGCTCCCCTCGTGCTAACTATTCTTATACTAACTATAATCGACTGACGGTCCCACCACTGAGGATGGCACTCACACTGCCCCCGTAGTGCCGCTGTCGATAAAGGATGAGCCGAAGGGATACCTTCTCATCATCACTGTCCAAAACACGGTAAAGAGCCTTTGTTGCCAAGACGGGTTTCCCACCACGCACCCAATGGATACAACTCTAGTTTGCTCTTCACCGGGTCTCTCATTTCGTCCGACCATTGGTGTTCCCACTGCTCCGTACTGACAATTTTATAATGGCTACAAAGAATACCATCTTATCAAGAGGCAAAATTACCTAAGACAATCAAGGAGAGGAAAACACAAAATTACTCCCATACATGGCAAAAAACAAATACTGTTCTCCCTCAATCCAAAATTATTTCAACAATACGTGTTTCTAAAAACGAAACACTAAGGAACATCGAGACTGTATGAATGAACCTATACTTTTTGGAAACTTGCAACATCAAGCACAAATCCACGTCCTAACCTCAGCGCCAAACAACTGACCAAGGCCATCAATCATACGAGAGAATTAAACATTGCACAAATGTTTCCTACAGATATCTCATTCATTCAAAGAACTCAATGCCGACGGTCGAAAGCCCGCAAACTCCGTCATAAACTAGGGACGGAAAACTAGGGAGGACATAAAAGACAAAAACAACAGCCAAGTTAAGTGAAAAACCAGCACATGGAGTAAATGGACGTAGACTGCCTTGCAGCGAGACTTGCTGAAGTTGCTGTAGCCCTTGGATATACAGGAGTGCTGCCCCCGCAGCCGCACGCTCTCCCACAGCGTCCAGATGCGCCGCTCCGCCTTCCATGTTTTCCTAGTGATCAAGGCAGTCAAAATGGCGTATCATGAAAGTCTGGCACACGGCCTTTAAATGTTGAAAAAGGACCCCCCCCTTTCCAGCAGAAGGCTTGAGGGGAGGACGGCTCCTCTGGTATCAAAATCTTGTTAGGTATGATGATTGGTATGGATGTCTAGTGCGGAGATGCCAGGGTGCCATGGCGTAAGAGTGCAGAGCACTCCCTACCCACTCAAGGGCTAGGCTACACCAAGGTACTGTCGCCATAGCTCTCACACAGCTATGGTGCCTGGCAGGGTAGGCGCCTCGTGCAAGAAGTCTGCGTCCACATGCTCCGACGATGCGTCCTACACGGCCGCCGCCGACGACCGGGCCTCGCCACCGCCGCTATCGCCGCTCCATTAGGGCACGTTTTCGTGCGGCCTCCCCGAGCCTCCGGAAGATTCATTCTCCTTTTGCACATTTAGTGATTGGTGTTTGGGATTGCGTCCACTCAAGTTTCTGCTGCGGCCATGATCCTTCCTCCTCAGGTTGGTCTTGTTGATTACCACCGTGTTTCTCCCGCCTCAGTCGTTGCTTTGCATGGGCAAGCTCATGCATTTCATCCCATGGCGATTGGATCGTGCATGCTCTTTCTTTTACTTTTTTTTTTCTTCTTCTTCTTTTTTTTTTTTTTTTTTTTGAAAGGGCGACGTCCTTGAGATATCATCATTGAGCTGACCGGCCCCGGGCAATTCAGGCAATTCCAAAATATCTGGTTTTATTCATCAAGTTCCTCGGGTCTGCATTTCAACAGTTTGAGGGTGTACCCACTAAGCTAGGCTCTTGGGTTGCACGTGCTCTTTCGTCTCTGGCAATTTTTTTCATAATAGAGCGCCCACTTACCTTATAGTGGTGATGCCGTTTTGCCACTGTGTGTAACCTGCGAAGAATCAGATCTGAAAGCCATCCAAACGGGAGTCTCGAATAAGTTGTGGAATGGAGGAGGGGTAGAACGGGAAGAGGAAAGAGTCGGGAGGGGTTTTAGCACGCAGGAAAGAAGGGGAGTGCGATGCATCTGTCCTCGTTCTATCGCTTAATTCATTCTCATTTTGCACATTTGGTGAGTAGTGGAGGGGGACCCGTTCCTGTGCCTTTCGCTGCGGTACTGTCAAGTGATATTGCCAAGTGGCTGGCCAGGTACGTCGAACAGAGGGAGGCAGATTTTTTATTTTATTTTATAGAAGGGCGATGGCCTTGAGGTATTATCATCGGACTAACCAGCACAGGTAAATTCAATATTGTGTCTAATCTGACATCGGGTGGCCTTTTCAGCCCAGGGTGGCCTTGATTGCCTTCAGGGAACCCCCAACGGGGACACCGACCAGGGGACAGCCGGTGGCAGAGGGACCAAGCATCATATGAGTGGCCAGTCGCGGATTCGAGACAAGGTAGACAAGCCTACCTTCTTCCCCCGAATACAATGTACGGTCATTATAGCTGTATCTAGACTGAAAGATGCCTCAAATACAGCTATAATGACCGTATGTTGTATTCGGGGGAAGACGGTAGGGGAGACCAAGTTGCAAGCGGGTTTTCGAAGAAAAAAAATTAGTAAGAGAAACTCAGTTGGTAAGGCACGGAAGTTGCATTCCGGAGGTCGTGGGCTCGATCCCCAATGAGCTCACGTATGTGTCTGGGGAAGCTTGGTCTTCTAACAGCTAGAGATAACCCGTTGGCCCCCCAAGCCCGCATGGGCAGGACCTTGGCTGATGTTGTTGGCTGCTATGCAGCCACAATATTGGCCATTAGGCCCATTAGACACCGCCATGTGGTTTTTTTTTGGGGGGGGGGTAAGGGGAGGTGCAATGACTGGCCATTGCTCGGCGCTTCCCCGTTCGGCAAGGCCTGCCCACCCCTGGTCAACGTGATGAGGGACTGGTACAGCCTTGCTCTCGCACCACAGCTGTGGTCCCCACCTACCCCCTTGGGCCCATGGGCTGGGGAGAGTTCCAGGTTTGGTTGGTGGTCCCCCCCGGTACTATACATAGACTAGTGAGAGGATGAGATAGATGCGTACTACCAAGAAAGATGACTTAGATGAGAGAAGAATATAGCTTAGTACCTTAAAAAAAAAAAAGAAAGGTTCGGTCGCCGGGACTCGAACCCAGGTCGCCTGGGTGAGAGCCATGTATCCTAACCAGACTAGAGTACGGCGGAAAAAAAAGAAGAATTTAGATGAKAGAAGAATATAGCTTAGTACCTTAAAAAAAAAAAAAAAAGGTTCGGTCGCCGGGACTCGAACCCAGGTCGCCTGGGTGAGAGCCATGTATCCTAACCAGACTAGAGTACGGCGGAAAAAAAAGAAAAACCAAGAAGAAGAAGAAGAAGAGGTGAGGAGCAAGAGGACGGATGAGGTTGACAGGACTTGAATGAGAAGCGGTGAAGGAGAGGCTGTTTGAACCCGGCCGGGTTCTTGGTTAAGATACGTCGGGTGGGAATTGAGGAAATAGGAGGGGCGGTTGGATTAACTCAGGCACCCTGCTTTTCGTTACTGCTGTTCTTACCGTTCGTTGTGCCCTGGGACGCACCTGGCTGTAACTGTGGGTAGATGCATTCGAGAAGAGAGGTAATAAAGAATTGGGGAGTACTAACGAGAAATGAGAAGAAAGCTGAGGCGGGTCGAAGTGGGGGATAAGAGTGACGAGTAAGAGAGTGAGGAGGTAGGTAGCGGAGCTAAGGTTTGGCCAAAGTGAGGAAGGGACAAAACAGAGGGAAGTGGAAAAGATGAAGCTTAGGGGGGATGATGACCAAAGGGTGGGGAGAAGAGTGCATTAAGACCGTGACTACCAGATGACAGCTGCGGTAGGTTGTAGAGGTAGTGTGTACGCCAGTGCCGGGTCTATTCGTTCATGCATGCATGTGGACTTGTTTGCATCCGGGTGCGCTGAGTTTTATCGAGGGCTGCTGTCGACTCTATATGACCTTGTGGGAAACAGAGGAAAAGAGGAGCTGATTCTGAGGGTCTCAGACCGTGTGAGGGAATGATGTGAATCAGATAAGGATGGTTATTCAAGCGGCGGACAGGGAGATAGACGGGAAAGGGAGTGCTGAACCATTATTGAGGTAGGGGGTGAAGAGAGCAGCAAGGGGAGGAGAGGTAGTGAGAACGCAGTCATGGAGGGGGATCACCAGGCAAGGCTGCTAAGCCTTGTGCGTGCCTATAGCTACAGACTGAGTAACCTCTGCACTCTTAACAAGATCTGTAAAATTCTAATTGAACTCCGTATTTGATTGTATTTGTGCATGCGGATAACAGATCGAGATTTCCTTTACAACGTGTGAATGGGGGAGCAGTGCACAAACTTACTTGGTGATGCACCGTGACTGTTGAACATCTGAATTGTACGATACGTTAAGGAGTTAGGCAGAGGGGTGAGTCGTGCCAAAGTAAAGGCCTGGGGTGAACATACCCTACTCGTTGGGTGGCAGTGGCTATCTCAGACTGCGCCCTTGCTGCCGTGAATACCACTACTGCTGTCACGATTGTCAAATGGGGGTCACGTTCATTGGGAATTGTATGATGATAACTTGAAGTTGTGGTGTTGAGGTTCCACCAAGCTGCTGAGACTAAGGTGTTGCTAAGCCAAGGGTTGGTGTCGTTACAGCGCGCACATTCTGCTGTTGAAGGTGTTGTTCTGAGTGGCTGTGCAACTGCTTTCTTCAAGGGAAGGTGTTGCTGCCTCACTCAGATCTGCACCACTGCTGGTTTCTTCAAGCCTGTGTGGCCACTGTGTTTCGCAGACCTGCTGCTATCGTTGACGTCCCTAAATTTTGCATTTGGGTGTCCCAGTGGCTGGCTTTTGTTGACCATATCGGCTTCTCTCAGTTTTTTAATTTCTTGTTTTAGTGGCCCAAATTGCATTTTGGTCCAAATCTGCACACACCAGAAATTCAATCTGCACGACTGTTTGCTGGTTTTTTCAACCCTGTTAAATTTGTGTTAATTGCATTGAATGAACATACGACTTTGATTGGTTTACAACTTTACATCTGATTCAGTGTTGCTGCATTTTGCGCCACTGTTGCCAGATTCTGGTTCGTGCTACGGCTGCCCGATTTTGGGTCGTGCCGATTCTGATTCGTGCAGATTGAGTTTGAATTTCTCGTTCATGCAGCTTTTGGTTAAACTAAGTCTTTGCGATGTTGCTGTATCGTCTGGTCAGACACGTAGTGTCCTTAGAAATCCACTTTGTGCTGGGCAAAGCGGCACTTGCTCAGCTTGGCGTAGAAGCCATGTCTGCGCAAGCGGTCAAGGACGTCGCGGAGGTGTCTGAGGTGCTCCTCAAGGGTACGACTGTAGACCAGGATGTCATCGAGGTAGACGAGAACGTACTGCTCCAGGATGTCCCTGAAGATGTCCTTCATCGCCCTCTGGAAGGTGGCGGGTGCGTTGGTGAGGCCGAATGGCATCACCGTAAACTCGTAGTGGCCGAAGCGCGATCGGAACGCTGTCTTCGGCTGGTCGGCTGCAGCGACGCGGATCTGGTGGTAACCGCTACGAAGATCAATCTTCGTAAAGAAGCGGTTGCCTGCTAGGCGGTCGAACAACTCATCGGAACGAGGCATGGGGTAGCTGTTCTTAACCGTGTAGCGATTGAGACCGCGATAGTCGATGCAGAGACGGAGAGTTCCATCTGCTTTGCGAGCAAAGAGGACGGGTGCACCCCACGGGGAGTTGCTGGGTTTAATGAAACCCAGTCTCAGGAGCTCCTTAAGCTGACGCTTGAGTTCGGTGGCCTCGGGGATCGAGAGTCTGTAGGGTGCCTGGTGGTGAACACGATAGTCAGGCACAAGCTGAATGGAGTGTTCGACGTCACGCATCGGTGGGATGCCGGCGTACGAGAACGACGATGGAAAAACGTCGTAATACTCTCGGATGAGGTCACGAACTGCGGGCTCCAGGTCAGCCGTATATCGTGCGAGTTCCTCAGCGTCAGCGTCAGCGCGCGACGGCGGGGTGGACTCGATGGATGGCGGAGGGACGAAAGTAGAGATGGGAGCCATTGAGATAGAAGGAGGATCTGGCTCCAGAGGGAGGAGATCGGCGTCGGGACAGGGTGGATCATAGTGTAAGAGATCCGTCACGTTCACCATAATCGGCCTCGGTGCTGCGGAACCGACGAGACCACGGAGTGCCGAGAATGAAGTCGTACCCCGTCTCCATCACATCGAAATGTGCAGAGGAGCGGTGGCGACGAGACGCGGGGAACGATCAGTCGGCTCGAGAGTGAGGAAGAAAGGGAGGTCGGTGACCGTCTGATCGAAGAAGCGCTGGGTCTTGTCATCCCCTAGGGTGACAGAGATGGGAGACGGAGACCCGGTCGTAGGTAAACGGGCTTCTTTCACCACACGGGGGTGAATGAAGTCGCCCTGAGAACCGGAATCCCACAGCGCAGAGTACACCCTCGTGGAGGTCCCGAGTCGTACTGGGATGATCGGGAGGGTGCGATCAGGGTCAGAGAGGATGGCGAGAAGGCGACGCAGTGCAGCAACATGGAGGGTGAGTCGCTCCTGACAAGCCTGGAGCATGCTCAAGTCCAGAAGAGAGGACACAACGTCCTCGTGAGTAGCGAGCTACTCGCTGCAACGGGCTGAGCGAATGGCTCGACGCGTCGGTAGTCGCGGCGGGGAAGGAGGGGAGACGGTGGTCTGCGGAGGCGCAGACGGTACTGCGACAGAGGCCTGAGTACACTCTGTCGAGTCCTGCGGTACCTCAACTCCAGTAGCGAGAGGGGCGAACCGTGACGGAGATGTCGGGAAGCCCACTATTGAGGAGGGCGCAGGTGTACACTGCACCATGGCTAGGAGGCGCCGCGGGGATGCGAGGCACCGGGGGGGGACTGAGCACGACGGTGGCGGGAAAGGTCAGCGTAGTGGCGGTCAAGGGCGGTAGTATAAGGGCACCGCGAGGAGGTATGACCGTCCTGACGGCATCGCAAACACCCACGTCGACCCATAATAGTCGCGCGCTCCTCAGCGGAAAGGACACCGCGAGGAGGAACAAAGCCCTGAGGGAGGTCCTGCTGAGGGACCTCGGGGGGCGACGCGCCAGTGTGACCAGGGCGGCTGCGTGCCCGGGAAAGGGTGGAAAGGATAAGCTGGAGGCGCTCAGCCATAGGGAGAGTAGGGTCCTCCAGGTGGTGCTGGACGACATCGCTGAGGTCGAGGTCATCGCTATGATCACCCTCTGGTGACGACGGGGCACCAGCGTCCTGCGCCCCATACTCGAGCGCGCTAAAGCGGCGCGAGAAGTGGAGACCCTGCTGCGTGGAACGGCGGGGGCGACCGCGGAAAGGGGAACGGCGCTGGGAAGTGCCGTGAGAGGAGGAGGCGGCGTAGCCCATGCGCTGAGGCTGGGAGGAGGAGGCGGGGTGAAGACGGGCTCGCATCCGCTCATGGTTCTTGACGGCCTCGTAAGCCTGCGAGGCCGATGTGAACTCGTACTGCCATAGCTCGGAGCGGTACTCGAGCGGGAGGCTGGCCAAGAAACGATCGATAAGGGCAGCCTCGGGAAGGAACGCCACGTCACAAATGAGGCGGGCGTCCTGAAAGACCTGGATGTGGCGATCCAGGCCGGCAGCGCCACCAGAGCCGGACCAGTGTGTAGTGACGACACGCTCGAAGGCGTCAGTCACGTCATATCGGGTTCCGAAGCGATCCTTGAGGAACGCCTGGAAATCCATGAAGGTCGAAGTCCGACCCTCACGCAGGGAGTAAGCATAGAAATCCTCCCAGGCGTCGAAAGGAGCACCACGCAGGCGCGTGGAGAGGTGACTCACCCACGTGTCAGGTATAGCGCCCATGAGCTGGAGCATGCGGGTGGCAGACTGCAGCCACCTAGACACGCGTATGCCTGTACCGTCATACAAGGGAATATCCGACAAGCGGATTAGTGGTGCGCCACCGTTTTGGCGGCGAGGGGAACGGGAAGCAGGGGACTGCGCTACGGCGGAATAAGTCGGCGTAGGTCCTGGAGGAGGAGGCGCAGCTGACTGTACGCCCGGGCCGCATGGTGGAGCGGCGGGGGAAACAGCAGCAAGCTGCACGAGAGTTGCGGTAGAAGAGGTCGCAGCAACCGAGGGGATGGGGAGGAGGTAGGATGGAGATGGGTATGGTGCAAGGTGAGGGAAGCGAGTCTGCATGGAAGGAAGAATAGAGGACGAAGGGGGTGCATCGGAAGGCGCGGCCACCTGTGAGGGTGGGGGTGGCTGAAGGCGTGAGAGGGTGAGGTCGGCCCGGAGCTGGGCGATCGCGTCCTCGAGGCCTCGAACGTAGGTCGAGCGAGGTGTGGCAGGAGGAGACGCACGAGCGACGCGAGGCATCCCACAAGGGGTAGAGCCAGATGGCGCTGTGGTCGTGCGAAGAGGGGGGAGAAGTGGGGCACCCGGAAAAGCTGAGACCATGGTAGCGGGTTGTGGTCCCGTGGCCGTCGTGACCAGAATCTGGGCGGGTGCGCCCGTGGACTGAGGGAGGGTCTGGCTCGTGGCGGCCGTCATGCTAGGGGCGTGGACAGTCACCAAGATGGCCGGGTCGGGGGCGGCGGAGGAGGAAGCTCCGTCGTGGCCACCCTGTCAGAGGACGGGGGACCCGGACTGGGAACCAGGAGATGGAGGACACACAGCATCCTGGAGTTGCTGCACGCCGGCGGCAAGGGTCGCCACCTGCGCCTGTAAGGGCCCGAGGGTCGCGAGTTGCGCCTGGATGGGCGCAAGGGTCGCGAGTTGCGTCTGGATGGGCGCAAGGAGGGAGGTGAGGAGGGTGTGCAGATCCCCCTGGGGTTGATGGACCTGGTCCGCCGGCACGGGTGTGGAGCCCGATGCCGTGGTCATCGCCGTGTCGGCGGCGTGTGACACACTGTCGGCCATGGGGAGATGACAGACCGGACTGGAGGGGGCCAGAAGAGGTCCGCTTGAGCGGAGGGCGTAGGGGGAAGTCCGCGGTAGAAAGCGGTGAACGGCGCTAGCAAGGCTAGCACGGGCGCCGTCGAAGGGGGAGGGGTGGTTTGGGTCCAGGGTGCCCGAAGAGGACGGGGAAGTAGGGGGGGGTTGAAGAACCCTAAACCCTACAAAACCCCTAAGAAAACCCTAACCGAGGTTTAAGTGGTTAGGGCAGGGTACCGGTGACCTAATCATGAAAGTAAAAGAGCAAGCATAAGGGGGGAAGGCGGGAGAAAAATAAATAAACAGCGAGATTTCGAGAGAAAATAAAAATAAATAAGGAAATAAATAAATAATAAAAATAATTAAGGAAATAAGTAAGAAGATGTGAAGGGAAACAATATTTATTTTTTGAAATTTTCGGCAGCATTTCCCTACCCCCCACGGGGTCAAGAATGTGCCAAGGGAAAAGGAGAGACCAAGGTGAGCACACTAGGGATGCCGCAAATAATAAAAAAAAGAAATTTCAAAAAATAAATAAATAAATAATAAATAAATAAATA